GGTGAGCGGGAGTTTTTATTTTTTCGTAATCCTAGTGCAGATATGTTACTTCATGAATCCGAACTTGATGTGGATCTTATTAAACAGGTTCTCTTCTTTATTATCATTTTCTTTTTAATAAATGCTATAATACTTAAAATTTTGAAAGGATGTTGCTATTTTTGGGTAGCAACTAGCAAGAATATGACTTTTGGTTTATTTGTAATTGATTTAGGCAAGAATATTTCACTTTGGATCGATTAGTTTGATAGAGGAGCCATGTAAATCAACACATGTAGCTGCAATGGCCATAGCCAAGAAATCCGGAAGCATCCTTTCTTATGATGTGAATTTGAGATTACCATTATGGCCATCACCGGATGCGGCTCGAGAGGGCATAATGAGCATATGGGACCAAGCTGATGTCATTAAGGTATAAATACTTATGGTCATATATATATATATATATATATATATATATATATATATATATATATATATCATAGATGTGATCCATGTATTCGATGATGACTTGGCAGGTAAGCGAGGATGAAATTACGTTCTTGACCGGGGGTGATGATCCTTACGACGATGATGTGGTGTTGAAGAAGCTTTTTCATCCAAATCTTAAACTTTTCCTTGTTAGTGAAGGAGCACAAGGTTGTAGATATTACACTAAGGTACTTTTCTTTTTCACTTAATGGGCTTAATGGGACAAGATTTATTCTTACATTATATAGATATTCTAACATGTGTTGTTATGTTTCGCAGCAATTTAAGGGTAGAGTACCTGGAGTGAAGGTGAAGCCTATTGATACAACGGGTGCTGGAGATGCTTTTGTTGGTGGGATTCTGAGCATATTGGCTTCAAATAGAGATCTTTACAATGTATAACATCTGATATCCGTTTGGCATTCATTGGACTAAGACTAATGTCAATGAGATAAAAATTGAAATTTTTGGTCCCATCAAAATAGGTGGTATAGAGATTCGCTCTCGATATCTCTCTCTCGTATGTGCAAAAAGATGTAAATGTCATTCTCATCATCATTTTGTCCAATCTGTAACAAACGCATATTGGTCAGATTATGCTTATGTTTTGTAACCCATTGTTGTGTTTGTAGGATGAGACACAACTAAGAGAAGCTCTTCTTTTTGCAAATGCATGCGGAGCACTGGTTGTGACTAAGAAAGGTGCGATACCAGCTATGCCAACAAAAGAGGAAGTCTACCGATTTCTGAAACAAAAAGGCTGAATATAGCTATAATGTACATGTATTGTCGCTATGGATGTTTAGGTAAATCCCACGGTTGTGATGTAATTGTCTAACTTTAGGATTTATTGTTTAGGGTTTAACAAATAGCTGAAATGTAACAATAATGCTTGTAATAGTCCTCCTTATAGTCTACACCATGGATTATTGGTTAAAATACTTGGAATAAATATTTCATTATATTAATTGTTGATACCTTGCACTATACACCACACCACCCCTTAGATTAGAGATGAACAAATCAAACCTTTTTTTTCTGACTGATAGAAAAAACCAAAACCGGTTTTTTTATAACCTGCTCAACTTAATCGAATTGGCGGTTTTGTAGTGGTTGTAAGGATTTTGGAAGACCACGGTTTTTTCGTGACCGTTTACAATTGTACCAACATCTAATTTTATGCATACACCAGGAGCTGTTGATTTTCTCAAAACACAACCAATGTAACCGGCCACCCTATGAATTCGATCATCCATTCAAATGTGTGTATCTTTCCATTTAACACCAAAAATAATCCAAATCCTTCAAGATCAATCTCGAAGGTATTCCTACTATTGCAGCCATTATTGGAGTCACCGACACTCACTTTTTTATCTCCCCTCACTGATTCATCACCACCAACAACAAAAGAACGATTTAAAATAGCCTCGTCAATGTTTCATCACACCAATGCAACATATAGCTCCTAAACCATTACTAAATCGCCGTAGAGAAACATCAAAGTGTGGAGGGTAGCCCCTTCGACCTTCGTAAATCATGTCTTCATAGTCTTACGATGGTAATTATTTGGAATAAAATTTTAGTAAAAAACAAGTCTTTTAACCAAAACCCACTATTTCAAACACAGTTTTCAATAATCAAAACCGGTCAAGCATTTAAAGTCCAAGAAACCAATCAATATTGGTTATGTTTTAATCCAAACCGATAACAAAACCGAACTAATTTAAACAAAAAAAAAATCATTTTTTTAATTGGCAAATGTGCACCTCTATCTAAGATAGAGAGGAAAAGCAATGATCATCCATTTAGGGCTTGAGCCTTGAGGCTGTCAGGCCCCACAATTGAAGGTGTATAGTGTATACGGGTCTGGCCCAAAGACAACAATCCAACTGTTCAAGACTTTGGTCTTGAAAAGTCAGGCCCCACAATTGAAGGTGTATAGTGTATACGGGTCTGACCCAAAGACAACAATCCAACTGTTTAAGACTTTGGTCTTGAAAAGTTTGGTCCGTGTTGGTAATAACATGAATAATTGGACGGCTTAATGTTATAAAAGTCTTTAAGTTTGATAGAAATGTTCGATTTTATTTTTTTTTGGAAATTTATAAGTTTTTTTTCCTAGCTCATTAAAACCCCTACATTTACAGAAGTTTTCGGTTTATTAGATAAATCTGAGAAAAAGGATAAAAATGATTGTAAACCTATGGTTTTAATGAATCATAAATTTTTTTTGGAAATGGCCGAGATTTTATAGAGAAGACCCCGCTAGCAAGAAACTAAACGAGGTCCAAAGAGTTACAGCAAATACATATCAATAAATAGAAAAAGAGGATACATTCCAATTATCCCAACTACAAATACGTTTTTTACCCCTATATTTGATCCAAAGATAACTAAGGACTTAATGTTCTCGACCGCTTGATTATGATAACATGCCAATCGTTGAAATACTCTATTATTCTGAGATTTCCAAATAATCCATAGCATCCCATAACATATTGCAGAGAATCTTTTCCTGTGATTGGAGCAGTTTCCTTATTTGTGTGTAAACTTAATGAGCTCCCCCACTGTGTTTACAACCATATCCTTAACCCCGCACCAACTGAGAATTTTTTCTCGAACCAAACACGCAAACGAACATTTGATGAGTATGTGATCTGCATTCTCCTGCTGGTTTACACAAAAAACGCAATACATGAAATCAATTGGAATGTTCCTGTGAATAAGTTCCATAGCACAAGGTATACGACCTTGCACATCTCTCCAGATGAAACCCACCACCTTTATTGGGATTAACTTGCACCGGCTAATCATACCATGAGAGGGATTATTGATATGGTTGTGGTCAATTAAATGTCTGAGGGCCGCTACTCGATAGATACCATCAGGGGCAATTAAGCAATGAGTATCATTTGCACCAGGGTGCAACCCAACAGATTCAATCTTCTGGACTAAACTCAATAGGTAGTTCTGCAACCCATAGTTGGATGGGTTGGTCTTCCAACACCAACTGATATCCCCGTTTCCATTGATTCTGTCCTTCACCTTGCATCTCTTTTTGAGCCTCAATATCATAAAGAGCTGGATATACCTTTTTTAATTCGAGAGATCCGATCCAAGTATCGCTCCAAAATTGAGTGTTGTCACCAGATTTGACACGTTGTCTAAATACATCATTGATATTCATTCCCATAGATTCCAAGTCATTCTTTACTCATGTTATGTTGTTCCATACACCACTAAGATATTTCTTAGAAAGATAGTCTTTAGGCTTGTTGGATAAGTTATGAAGTCCCCGTATGATCTTACTCCATAGAGCTGATGAATCATTCCACAGTCTCCACCACCATTTGACTAGTAGTGCTATGTTCAGAGCTCGTATGGTACCAACACCTAAACCACCCAACTCTTTAGGACTAGTTACTTTATTCCATGAGACCCAATGTACTTTATTATTCCCTTCACTGTCCCCCCCCCCCCCCATAGGGAAGATCTTCTTAGCTTTTCGAGTTTCTCAATTACACCTATCGGAGCTTTAAACAGCGAGAGGTAATATGTGGGAAGATTTCCCAACACGGAAGTAATAAGAGTTAATCTCCCCCCGAAAGATAGTGTTTTTGCTTTCCAACTTGTGAGTTTTGATTGAAACTTGTTAATAATTGGCTGCCAATTTCTAACTAGGTTCATGTTGGCCCCAACTGGTACTCCAAGGTAGATAAATGGTAGAGCACCAGCCTCACAGCCGAGTATCCTAGCCCCCGTGCAGTTTCACAACTTGATGCCCCCACGCCGTATACTTTGGATTTGTAGAAGTTAACCTTGAGACCAGAGGCCACATGGAAGCAGTGTAAGATACATGCCAAGTTTTTCATATTCGCTCTGCACCATTCTCCCACAAATAACGCATCATCGGCGTAAAACAGATGCGATATTTTGGTGTCAGTTCCTGGAATTTTTATACCCTTGAATAAGTTTTTCTCACCAGCAGTCTTCATGGATACGTTTAGCCCTTCCATTGCTATAATGAATAGAACTGAGGATAAAGGGTCGCCTTCTCTCACCCCTTTTGATATCTTAAATTCTTTAGTTGGGCTGCCGTTAATGATAACAGAAGCACGGGCAGGTGACAGACATCCTCAAATCCACATTCTCCACTTATTCCCAAATCCCATTTGATTAAGGATTGAGTCAAGGTACTTCCACTTGACGGAATCAAACGCTTTGTCAAAATCTACCTTGAAGAGTAACACCTTATTTTTTGTTTTTTTGACCCACGAGCATATTTCATTGACTATTAGAGGCCCTTCGAGTATACTTCTACCCTCCATGTAAGCCGACTGGACTTCGTCGATAACACTCCCGATTACTGACTTTAATCTAGTTGCCAACACTTTGGATATAATCTTGTATATACAGCCTATCAAGCTAATGGGCCTGAAGTCTACCAGGGAGGTCGGATCTTTAGATTTGGGAGCTAGTGTAATGAATGGCGAGTTACAACAGAGTTCCTGTATCCTCGAATTTTCGAAATGAATCAGAAAATACATAAAAAAGTGTTTAATTCGATTTTTTTAATAAAATTGTTGATACAAGTTTTTAATTGACACTAAACAAAATCCCGCAATTGATCGTGCCACCGGCACCTATGGCATGTGCAGTTGTTTGAAATTGCAAATCTCCTGACGCTTGTTATACGCCACCACCCAGATTTACCTTCAGTCCTTCAACTTCCCCTGATTCCAGCAAACCATCACTTATCATCGATCCATCAGACAGATCCACAACCATCAACAATGGCAACTGATCGTTCGTTTGTCACGGAGATCGGTCCGGATGGTCTCGTTCGCGAATCGCCTGTCATCGCCCACACCGAGCGGGTGCGTGTTGATTTGCTATGGCCTATATGTTCATGGTTTTGACTGATTTATAATTCTAAGTGATAATGTTAATTCATGTCATTCTAATTTCAGATGATTGAAGAGGAGCAGCTTCAGTTGAGAAAGTACGTTTCATTCCACCTATGAATTTGTTATTCGATCTGCTGATTTTTCATTTGCATGTTCGCATACTATATTTCTGGTATTGTTAAACCCGTAATTCAGACTATATATTATAAATAGTAGCACGGTACTGTTTGATTAGGTTTTTATGAAGCTTATTTAGGTTTTCTTGGATGTTAATAGAATGAATTTCAATTATTTCGCCATTAAAATCTGTTTCGCTGCTTAACTTCAGCTATAAAAAGAACAATTTAAGAATGCTCAGAATTGACATCAATTCCTTGATCTCTACTATTAAAGGAAACCACATTTAAACTTGCTAATGATTGCTGATTTGCTGTGTGCGTGGATTTTTCTCTCCATATTTGATGATCTTTTCTAGAATGATGCAAAAAGTATCACTGTAATATGACTCAAGAAGCTCTGTAAAGGGATTTAAGTTTTCTCTACTTGGGATACCTCTCTTCCTTCCCTTCATTGTATAATGTTGACCATCTTTCTATCTATAATTCGAGTAAATTGAGAAGCTTTTCGGTTAGCTGATGGAATACATTGGCCACTAAAAGTGCTACCATGTAGGTTGATATTACTCGAATTCACAAATGACCATGAAATGTCAACTTATAATTCTTTGATATCTGTAGTTCAGATTTCAGAATTGGTATAATGTTACAAGCCACCTGCCCAAAGTTCTAGCTATACATATCTAATGTAAGAAACAACTTTTAAGAATTTAGTATGTCACTCCATAGTTTGCTTCTCACTATACATTCTACAACAATGAGAAGAAGAACTATTCTCATTTACATATTTTCATCGATAGAAGAACTGTACATGTTCTGACTTCATTGTGTGAAAGAGAGGAGAAAAATCTGCAACTAAGAGAACTTCATTTTAGGACATCATGAATGCCTATAATATATAAATAGCTTTGTTTCTTGATTTTCAGTAGGCTCCTTCATTATCACCATGTGTTTCTTTATGTTACATGTTAATATTACCTAAGCATATTTTTCTACAATATATATTTCTTTATTGTTCATTCTTCCTGATTTGCCCTTGGAACTTTCAGATACATTGAAGAGAATTATTCCAAAATCCGTGATGTTGAGCGAGAGCTTACAGGTCTCACAATGGAGATGAAACTCACAGCAGGACCAAAGAAAGCTGGTTGGTCATTGGTGCATTATATTTATATGCTTTTTGACATTAGTGATGGTGCTTCTCCTTTGTGTGTCTAAGTATTACTTTTTTCTCATTTACATCTTGACATCTTGTAGCACTTGAACATATGAGGAAGAAAATCGAAATGTCAACAGAGAAGATTCGTCTTGCTAAGTTGAAGGAAGAAGAGGCAAAGAAGGTTTGAGTCTTTCTGTTGATATATGTTCATCTTTTGTCCCTCTCATTTACAAAGCTGATCATAGCCAATATTTGTATATGTCACAGGCTTTGGAAGCTGCATCAAAGGCAGTGAAGGATGAAGAAGCACTCAAGCAGAAACTATGTGAAGATTTGAATAATTTGGTATTCTACATAACACTATTTTTCTGTTTTCAGTGTATTGTATAATGTATACTCACTTATGTTTTATAGGTCCAAGAAAGCAGTAGCTCTCAGTTTGCTAGACTAGAGGAGCTAAAAAGGCGGCTAGAGGCTTTGAATCCAAGAAGGTCATCTGCATTTTTGGGAGCTGTAAGCCTTCTCTCTGTTTCCTTTTTTAATGCAATAATATGTTTGTTTAATTTTCTATACTATTCACAAAAGGGAATTTGTAAAATAAGGAAATGAATCAAATGGTGAAAATATGATATGGGGAAAGGATCTAACAGTGAGTTTCATCCACAATCCCAAGTAGTTTGTTAATCATCAATAGGTTTCAATTTGATTATAGTCATTTAAAAAGCTTAAATAACCTAATTTCTTCATTAGTGTAAGGAATTCAAATAAGCTCTTAAAAAACCTCCTTAATCAATATAATCATAACCTAAAGGAGCTCTTAGTTTGCATAGAATGATTAGCATTAAAGATCAAAGAATCATCAAAACTGAATTTAATTTGAAAAGCTTGAAGTTACTAGCTTAGAAGATACTTTTTATGACCTAGATAGATAATAAATGGGCATCCCGGGTATACATAGGCCAAAAAGCCCAAATAAATGGATGAAATTCTGGCCCATTAAAGGCTCAAGGGTTTTGCTTGAGCTAAAAAGCCTAGGCTTTTTTGGGCTGTTTTTTTTTTTTTGTTTCCCTGTTTTTTGTATGTGTGTCATTGTAGTCGATCAAAGTGTCGTTATTTAACAATTAAATAAATACAATATGACACTTCACTTGTTATGTAAATTAAAACAATACTGGTACTAGTATATTCTTATTAATTCATTTTCATATCTAATACTAATACTATCATCTTCTACATCATATCTCACTTTAGTACCTATATCTACTTAATAAAGTATTACACATAACAACATGCATCTTATATACATGTAAAGTATCTACACCAAAAATGCATAAAATATTAAATTTTCATTATACAGCAACCTACTCTCCAAAATGCATAAAATCTACTATTATAAAGCTTAACAACATTTGGATTCCACATGCGTTATCCGATGAAGCTGCTTATAGAGAATTAAACCAAATTTACACCTAAACTCATCGTGTTGACATTGTGTTTGACTTGTACATTCTTCTGACATTTGCATTCCATTATTTCCAGATCTGATACTTTTTTTAAATAAGACATCCCTTGTCATATTTAATCCTACAAAACTTGAATATATTTTTCAATTTGCAAATGCGTAATCATGAATCCATCATTGTTTAATTAGACATCATACTTTCTAAACACTATACCATAATAAAATTTGTACTTTATATTTCCCAATTACTTATTCAGTGCAACATATATTTACTTTGTTCCATTAAGGAGATAATAATGATATTGTCATGAGTTGAATTCGTAATAATTATGGTTGGTTTGTTGTGTTGTGTTGTAGGGTGCGAGTCCAGTGGAACCTGCATTGAATTTGAGGAGGACAGGTGTGGAGGTATCGGTTCCTTCTAATAGTAATAGTGTGGAAGCTGCAGCTACTACTATTACAGAATCATCTAATAATAATGAAAAGACAAGTGGAGATGTACAAGAAGGGATGACAAGGGGTAAAAAGAAAAATGCAATCCCAGGGAGACCTAATAATAAAGGTCAAGGAGGAGGAATTGGAGCAATACCCAAGAGAGGAACCAGTTGGACTGGTGCTGGCTTTGACTAAATTTTCTTCCAGGTATATGGTATATACATACACCCCGCCCCATTTTTCAATTATCAAAATTATGTTTACATTTGTAAAAGGTCTTTCTTCATAAATATATTACAAAAAAAAAAAAAAAAAAAAAAGATATGATTTATTTAATATGGGTTGCTTTCTTTGTCCATCATATGTCATTGATTCTAGCGTCCAATGTTAACTAGGATTTGTTTAGGAAGTAAGTAGACTGCTACCCTGTGGCTGTGGCTGTGGCTGTGGTGTAGTAGTAGATTCCTTTCCTGTACTGTAGTTGCAAAAATCAAAGCCATAGGGGACGGTGCCTTTAAATTTACAGAATCCATCATATCCTTCATTATGATTTGATATTTCAGGTTCATTAATTATTGGAGTATTATTTATTTATTTTTCAAACATGGTCTTCACTCTTCACTTTACTCTGTGGTGTATCAGGTGGACCTAAGAATAGTAAATGCATGCAGACTCTTACTCTACTCTACTCTCTTTTAACTTTGGAATTCTTTACATATTATTATTGACTTTGGAGTGTTATGTAACCTTGAAAAAAGATGACCAGTAGACTAGAAAAATCGGGGTGGGGTCTTTCGGACCTTCCAACAAAAAAAACAAATGTGATAAGTCATTTCATAGCAATGACAGTAACATATCAGGAAGAAAAAAAAATTATATAGTAAATAAATAAGGTACATGACATGACAACATCTTGTTACCAGTCATTTTTTTCACATAAACATTGTAAGGAATTAAAGTAGACATTTCATAGAAGTGATTGTATACAACACTAATCCATTTTAATGTAGAACCAGTGGGCTAAAGTTGGAGAGAAATGAAATTAGGGAGTGGGAAGATGTAATTTAAACTTTTAAACTGAAATGAATAAATGAAGTCTCAGCTGTTTGCATTAATTTAAACCAGGCTATAAATATTAAATAGAGACAGTTGTAAGAAATTAGTCTCACTCACTCACTTCATAGGTTTTTAAATGATACTATTACATATTAGTCCTGTAGTAGTAGTAGTACTAAATCTGCTGGGATCTGAGGACCAAAATTGATGTGGGCTGGGCGTAAAACAGGCAAGGCAGAATTCAGTTTTTATTGTGGGCTTATTATATTATATATTATAATATAATATAATAAGTAATAAATCACGACTCACGGCAGGTAAACGTAAATTCATGACACAACTATAACTACAAGAACAAGACATGTCGTCCCTCGTCCTGCTTTTTTGTCATACGCATCCACATCCACCGCAGCTCTAATTCATACATGGTACATTACCATAAATTTCTGTACCTTTTTACCTTATACTGTGTTTTCCTTTTCTTAAATTTGCATATATATATATATATATATATATATATATATATATATAATATATATATATATATATATATATATATATATTTGGAGGAATATACACCATCAAAAATCAAAACACAAAAACTCACCCATCAATAAATACACATGTTTGGCTACCAAACATTTTTCAACCCATTTAAATAAACAAGTAAAGTTTTAAATAAGTAAAGTTAGGGTTAAGAATTTCAATTTGAAACTAAGTTTTTTTTAAAGATAAATTAGAATGACACAAATCCAAAATCATACTAAAATAAAAACTTTGTATCGGGTTATGGAAATGATTTAGTCCCACTCATTCATTCCCTCCTCATGATCTTGCCCCTACACCTCTTAACTCCCTATTCTTTTCATTTCTTTCACTTGTTTCCTTTCTGCCCTTGTAGCTCATCTTTCTTGTTTTGACCCGTCAAGACTAAATACATTTACTAGGTATAAATCCTAACTCGTTGACCTAACATGAAAATAAAAGGGCTTGATTAGGGTAATCTCTCTCAACGCATTTAATATTTTAAACTCAACATTGTCAAGTCTAATCAAAATATAACCACACTACACAAACCATAATTTTGTAAGTAAGTGAATAGTTTTTAAATTTATAAAAATAAAAAAAAAATGTATAGAAGATAAAAAGATGATGGGTATTTGGCAGGTGAATGGATCTGGTTTGGTAGCGGTGGTCCATGGAGTATAATTGCATGATTAACGCCGGTTGGTTCACTGCTGCCCAGAAACTGGTAGTCCTACTCGTACATATTCATGCTCGGTCAGTCAGACCTTTTTCATTGCCTTCTTCTATTCTTTTACATCACTTTTTTCACATTATTTTTATTTTTATTTTTACTTTAATCAACCTAAGTTTGCTTCAACTCTTTTATAGTAATAATATTTGTCAAAAACTTTTATTTATATCATGAAAAAGTATAAGTACCTATTAAAGTCTATCTATATACGTTGTTTAAAATTAAAGCAGGCAGTAAGACTGTAAGACCAAAACTGATATATACCACGTTTAGCACTGCTACTGCATTAACAAATATTACAAAAATCAAACCAAAAAAAAAAAAAAGACTAACTTCGGTGATTGAATTTGAAGATCTTTTGTCATAAACAAGTTGTTTTTCCTAGAAAGTATAATATAATTTTGGTATTTATGCCACAAGTCATTTTTTTTAATTTGACACCGTTTTTTATTATTATTATTATTATTTTTAAAAGCCAAACTATGTTACTCCTAATCTAATCCTAAACACCACATATGTCTCTTAATAAGACTTGAACCTATGACCTCTCATTTGAGAGAGTCACTCCTAATCGCATTATTTTAACCGTTTTATATTAATTATGTCCATTTTACATTTTATAATAGTTCATTTATCATTTCACATACCAACATCACATAAACAAAAACAAATTGTCATTTTACCCTCAAAGCCACCCAACAACCTAGAAATGGGCTAATTTGACAAAAAAAAATAAAATAAATAAATAAATAAATAAAATAATAAAAAAAAATTATTGTTTTTTTAAAGAAAGTTTAAAAATTAAAACTATGTCAAATTAGAAATAAAAAATAATGTACATTAAAATCTTATTTACGTGAGTTTTTCGCATTAAAATCTTATTTACGTGAGTTTTTCGCTAAAATGCTCATTATTTTAGAATAATTTAAAACATAAAATACGATTAAAGAAATTAAAACTAGACTTACTATTTAAAAACTTACTTAAAATCTAAAAACTTGACTTAAAACCTACAACATGATTTACTATTAGACGTAAAACATAAATTAAAACTACATTTAAGACATAAAAATACTCTGCCTTATCTCAGTTGTATTGTTTAGCAATATTCTTACTCAAATTGTTAAAAATCAAACAATCTTCTTCGGACAAGTCCTTTCTCAGGTTTAAGAAAAGCTTCAGTGCATGATTCTTTTCTTTTTCCTTTCCCAATTCCAAAAAACCCTCAAGCTTAACGTCCAACCCTTTGATGTCGCTTCTTATCTCCTCCACTTCACTCGATGAACTTTGTGCTCCTTTCAGCTTTCTTTTTGCTCTGTCTCGTCCCATAAGACGAGTTGGATCTTCAGATGTTATTGAACTCCAATGAGGCTTTGTTGACGGTCCTCCATTTCAAGTAAAGTTGATTAGCATTGCGATACTCCTTTTTCATTAGGACACAAAAACTAATCCAAGCTCTATTTTTAATGGTTATCGAATCTCGGTTGTTGATCGTCGCCGGATCCTCCGACACATCAAACCATGCTTGCGCTATTGCCCTCTCTTCATCATTTGTCCATCCTTTGGATGGAGCCTTCCCTTTTCCTTTACTTTTTCCTTTTGGTTCGACTTCGGGCTCTTGAAACGACTCTTGAACGGGCTCTTGAACGGAAGAATCGGTTGACTCATCGACTAGGCGGCGTGGTTGGGATTGAAAATTAGTTTGGGGTTGAGTTGTGAAAAGAATTGGGTTTCTTGAACCGTCCCAAACGGATCAAGATCAGAATTTGGACGAAACATTGGTTGGGATTAGAAATTAGTTTGAGGTTGGGTTTAGTAAAATGACATGGGTTGAGAAGAATACGGATCGAATGGAAACATTTGTGGAGCCATAGAAGGATCGTAGTAACTATCTAGTAAATGAATTAGTTGATCAAATGAAGATCGATAACATGGTGGTGGTGGAATGTTTGGTAATGGAAGGTTTGGTGATTGAGGGTTTGGAGATGGAAGGTTTGAAGTTTTTTTTTAGGTAGATGAAGACATTTTTGTTTGGTTAATTGAGAGTATTTGTAAGAGAGGTAATGATATTTTGTGTGTGTGAAATGTTGAGAGTGTAGTTTAATTTATAGTGGTTGAAATAATTTGAAATTTTGAATAAAAGATGGTAAAAACGTTTTTTTATTATTAATGAAGGTGGTTGAAAATTTATTGAATTTTAGGTTTGCAGTCAAGAATCTGGTCAAAGACATATCAACCAATCACATGCATGCTTGCCCTTCTTTCTCCTCTCGTTAAGGTGTTAGCGACTCTAGCTTAGTGAGCCCCATAGTGAGTGCTAGGGGGCGGTATTCCAACTCCTTGGCGACTCGACTCCATGTTGCCTAATGTTTTTTTCTAACAAATACAGTAATACACACCCGAGGAAATCTCATGCAATTACTTTACAAGCTATCCTAACCATATTCTCTTTGAGTAATTCTTGCAAAATGAATTTATATTCGTTATTTGTAACTCCATACGGAAAATTACCTAAAAAGGGTAATATAGTTTTCATTTTTGTACACTTTTAGTCTTTATTGTGTTTTTTCTTGTAAAACAAGTCATTTAACTTGTTTTGTATACATTCGGTCTTTATGATTGGCTACTACATGTTATGAATGACTATTCCAAGTTAAGTTTTTAGTTTGATATATTTAGTCCTTAATGTTTATTGTTGTTTTTTGTATACATTCAGTCGTTATAACCGATTTTCATTAGGTTTTGCTCACTTGACATCCTACGTGGAACAAATAATAATGTGGTGTGCTCATACGTGGCTCGTCCCTCACTTATATCAGTAATTGAATTCATGAATAAGCCAAAAAATGTCGGTGCTCTAGTTTTCTCCAAGAAGATGTCTTCGACTTTAGTTTCATCTATCTTCATAACAGATAACGAGATTATTTATGATTGCTTTCTTCCAACTTGAATTTTCACTTCCAAGACAAAATAACACCCTGAAAGAAGTTTAGAGTCTTTCCTAATATATTCGTATGTCGATTTTGACCATTTTTCAACAAATAAATTTTTTGTTCTTTTCAAATTGACCCCGAATTTTGAATGTGAGCTTGCTGTTGTTAAAGAGGAGGTTTCATGTCTCAACCACATTGAATCGCAAAATACTAAAACCCTAGAATGATTAGGGTTATTTCGCGAAGACTAAGGAGACACATCACAAACTTCTATTAATTTATTAATCACTAATAAATTAACAAACTTATCCCCAATAAACTCTCATGTCAATAATTACTTAAATATGTCATTGTGTGTAACCCAAAAAGACTGTTATTAATACTAATACTACTAACTGTTGTGAATGATGACACTCTTTCTAATAATTGAAATCATTATGGCTAATGTGTTCCTTCACCTGATGTAATGCAGTTGGTATGCTATTGAATGAAGTTTGTATTGGTATTAAATATAGTTGATATTATACAATAATAGTTACTAATATCAAAAGTGAAATGCTATTACGAAAACCAAGATAAGGAACACATTATTCCACTTCCCAAACGAGTCATGCATGAGCACACCTCATTAATGATTGTCTCACATAGGATGTCACGTGAACAAAACCTGAAGAAACTCATCATAAGGACTAAATGTGTACAAAATCAACGAGGACTTATTTTGCAAATATATATATATATATATATATATATATATATATATATATATATATATATATATATATATATATATAATATATAAATGACTAAATGTGTATGAACTGAGAACTTAACATTGAGTAGTCAGTTATAAGGATTGAATGTGTATAAAAACAATAAGTTCAAGGGTTTATTTTACACAAAAAAATTAATAATAACAATGAGTAAACATGTACAAAATAAGAAACTATATTGCCATTCTAGGTCGTTTTCCCTAAATAAAACTTACAAAAATGGATATTCGATTCTAATATGAAACCTGTAGACTTCCCGAAGAGTTACGTCATACTGAAAAAATTAGAATTAATCAAGAATTTATTGATGGCGAAAAAGTATTGTATTCGTTATTTAGTTATTATATTGCTATTTGTTAATTAATATAACATCTACTTTTTTTGGAATGACGGAAAAAAATATCATTAAAACAAGAGAAAGTAGAAAGGCACAAGCGAGAACTCTAGCCAAATTACAAGAAACATTCTAAAATAGGGGAGGAGTTTAAAGCATGCCAACTAATAGAATTACAATTGGACCTATTTTAATCCAACTAAAAGTAATTAAGTTAATATCATCATCCGTAAACATGATATTCTGAGATTCATTGAGTGGGGTCAATGACATGTTAATCTCGAATTATGCTCATCTCTATTCTATAACAAGGATGTCGCAGATCATAGGACAGATGGTAAATCAACCATGTGTGTGACCCTCGATCCAAATTATTCTCAAATTGGCATGTAAGTTAACGATACACGCTCCATCAACATAATATAAAGAAAATGTGTGTTTTCACGAGTAGTATACGACTCACATTTTTAATAAAACGAGAATTTTGTTTTAATACTTTTAACTTTCAAACAATTATCCTATCAAACCCTTTCGGTAACACCAATCTCAAAACGCAAAGAGTCGGTGAGGGTGGTAAGCCTAAGGACTTTTAAAAATCGACCTTATTAGGAATCGAAGAATCCTCCTTAAACCTATCTTTAGGCATTAGATTTGGTGAGTGTAGTATTGTCTTGACTAATTATGTTTCTACTAAACAAGTGAGGATACATGTGTGTAATAATCTCTCATACATATAATAATCTTATTATAATATGTAGGTAAATTTAAACATTTTAAATTTGATCTTTACCTTATAAAATATTTAAATTTATTTCTCTAATCAGTTAATATTTAAAATTATAAATAAATATTCAAATTTAAAATATTATTTAAATATTACTAAATACTTATCTTAAAATAAATATTATAATTTAAATACTATTTAAATAATATTTAAAATCAAGAGGTTATTATCCAAAATTCAAAAAATCTTCATGTTTCCATTTTTTTGTTGCACAAGTTAGGAAACTTGTCAACCAAGTAGAGTTTTCGAAAATATAACATATTTATCTGAGGACGCGTCGCGCCCAAGGTGTAACGACCCAAAAATTACAAAGAGATTTCATTTGGAAACAAATTAACCAATTAAATACCTTTAACTTAAAAACAATAAATGACATTCATTTGTTTGAAACCCTAATGTTATCAGAGTTCAATTACATGACATCGAAAATCATTATGTTCGATGCATGTGTACAGTCCCGCCGAGCTCTTGTCACGAACACCTTCAAAACATTTTATCTACAACTGTAGGTATAAATCTTAGTGAGTTCCTCATTATACCACATATTCCATCATATATACAATGCACCCACACAAAGTCCTCAACTGTAAAGCCGACCTACCTGATCTCCTAATCACAAGCATACATCATACATAACGGGCCCAACCCAAAGAGTATAATGGGCCCAATCCAGACTCATATAACCGGCCCAACCCAACGTACATAACAAGTCAATGCCAGGGGCCAGATCCAGGTGTTTCATTGTAACATTCAGTTCAAGTGAGAAATTGTCAATGTAAAAATTCAAAGGTTTTTACCTTACTCATGACGTGAGAGATGTATGTCACGTCGTGAGGAGATTAATGCAATCACGCATCACCTTTGGGCTCACGACGTGAGAACACAATGGCTCACGACGTGAGATTTGCCTGTGAGGAAACCCTAATTTTGGGGGTTTTATTTCCGTATTTAAAGGAAGTGAGGGCTAGGGTTAGCCCACCCTCAGCCTCCATCACCTCCTTGCACTCCCCTTTGAAACCCTAGCATCCATATTTGATCTTGAGCTTATTTGTGGTGATTTTAGCCAAGGAGAAGGAAATGAATAGAATCTAGTCCATAATTTTTGCATTCAAGTCTCACCATCAAGCATTTGCACACCTTTTGGACCTTTTGTAAGTATCAAGTTCATTACTTTATGAGTCTATAAGCTTAGATCCAGGTTTTTATGCTTAATCTTTCATATACAAGATGATGTAGTGGTTGAAACCCATAAAGCTACCAACTTTATGGATCTCTAGTGTTACTTGAGTGTTATAGTTGTAAGATCTGGAATATGATTGAGTTTTAAGACTCTTACATGAGATTTGGTGTCATTTGCTTCTTTTATGCCCTAGTTAGTGTTTGGGACATGCATGTCCAAAAAGCCATGATTTTTATGATGTTTTGGAGTAAATAAGACACTATGGAGGATTTGGTTGCTTGGCCAAAAAGAGATTAAGAGTTTCCTTAAGAACTTCTGATCAGAGCGTTCTTACGACATGAACACAAGGGTGTCATGACGTGAGGATCTCATTCCTTGATTGTTTTGACTTATTAGGTCACGTCGTGACTAGTGGATTGTAGGACTTTTGAGTGTGGATTGATTTTGACCAGGGTTTGACCAAGTTTGACCTAAGGGTATTTTGGGTATTTTGAGGTCACCGGTAGAGCTGATATTCAGAGCAGTGTCCTGTTCAGCGATCTTTACAGACTGAGAGGTGAGTTTTCATCATTGTAGTTGTGGGTCGAATACACTAATGTCGGCCCATTGAACCATGTATTCTTGTTAGAGGATGTTGCTATGTTGCATTGATATGTTAGATTGAGTCATGATATATAGGATATTGCTATGTGGTATTGATCTGTAGATCTGTCTGTTTACCTGTTAACATGTTATATAATATCTGTTATGTATATGTCGACATATTATGGTTTTGGGTTGAAGCTTTACTGCTATGTGCGTGAGCCAACAAACCAGGGGTATTCCAGTCTGATGACTGAATGGACCCGAGGGTATTCCAGTCCGATGACTTAGTGGACTCATTGCATATTGGCATTCCAGTCCGATGATTGATTGGGTCGTGGGTATTCTAGTACGATGACTGATTGGACCCAACATGCAATGTTTGTTTATGTTATGTTGTGTGGTGGTACTTTGGGGGACCTCACTAAGCTTTTGGCTTACAGTTTTAGTGTATTGTTTTAGGTACTTCAGATGGTCGTGGCAAGGTGAAGGCGTGATCGTATGCATCCTTCGGTGACATGTTTTTAGAGATTTTATGTTACACGGATCTTGGGAATATTTGTATTTGACACTTGATGGATATGGTTTTGATTTGAAAACAATGGTTTCTTATAAATTAAAAATGAACATTTTTATCGTGATTTTTGGGATGTTACATTCATACAATACATAAAGTCAGATGTAGTCATGGATTAGATAGACAGACAAACAGGCGGTCTACCCGAAAGCAACGAATCAAAACAAGAAGCATGCAATAAGGCTTTGTAACAAGAGTATATGCACACAATAACCATCCAAAACTATCATTACCCTAACCATCCATAACTATACAAGTGTTGTGATCCAACCATAGTATTTCATATAAGTGTTGTAATCCAACCACATTTGTTCATACATGTGTTGTGATCCAACCATAGTTTTTCATACATGAGTCACAAGATAGTCTACCATAACATGACACCAAGTGTCCTATATTGCACATACATATCAGGTAACTATCCAAATCAAAGGATATACAATGTCATG